TGTCCAGTTATTCCAGAGTTCAGCATCTGTGTGGACAGCAGGCTTAGCAAGGCCTTTCCCCTTTCCCCTTTCCGTTTTGTTGGAACACGATGCGGGTGGGTGAGGCAGTTGTTTCCATGGCCCTCCCTGCCTTGCCCAGGTGGTTCTTGCTGGTGGCCAAGGTGAAGAGCCCCTGCAGTGCAAACATTCCCCACTCTCAGGACACTCCCTGTGAACACAGGAGCAACGGCTAGAGGGAGGAGAGCCTGTTCTGGTCTCAGGGCCGACAGGCTTCCCGACAGGAGAGGAGGAGCAGGCCATCCAAGCAGCAGCTTGGGCTGCTCGGGCACTTGTCCGGGCACGCAGCCTTCCACATGGCAACAGGCTTTAAGGCATCTGACGGGCTTCCAAATGGAGGCCACCTGGGACATTCTGAGAGTCCCACCAGCCACAGTTAAAGAGAAAATGAAGCGATGGCATTGATTTTATTGTATGTTTTATTTAGCACAGTATGTCTCTAATATTGTTTACTATATATTATGACATTTCTAAATTCCATCAAATGCAAACATCATTATAAAGGTATTTTTTTTCTTTTCACTTTTGTGTTATGTGTTTGAAATCAGGGTGTGTTTTACACTGACAGCATACTTCAATTCTCTCTATTTTTTTTTAACAAATAAAAGGAAAGAGAGAGAGACAGAGAGAGAGAGATTCCATCTGTTGGTTCACTCTCCCAAATAGCTACAATGGCCAGAATTAAGCCAATCTGAAATCCAGAGTCAAGAACATTTTCAGGTCTCACAATTTGGTGCAGGGGCCCAAAGACTTGAGTCATCATCCTGTTTTCCCAAGGCTTGAGCAGGAAGCTGAGTGGGAAGTGGAGCAGCCGGGATATGAGCTGGCACCCATATGGAATGTAGGCACTGAAGCATTGGATTAGCCAGTTTAGCTATCACACCAACTCCCACTTGAACTCTGAATTGCCACATTTCACATGCTCAGTAGTTGCACATGGATGGTGGCTGCCATGTAGGACTGTACTGGGATAGACATCATAACATTCATTACCATTTGATGCAAAGTATTTTTAAACATGAATTTTTTTTCCCTTTGGAAATAAATCAATTAGATCAGGCCCAGGCAATAAAATGTTTTTCTCTTGTAATTATAGCTTCCCCTGTCAGTTCACAAATCCTGCCCTAGGGAGAGCCCCTTCCATACAGGAATTATTCATCTAACATTATGTGGACTACCTTGTTAAAAACTATGCTTTTGTGGTCAGCATGGTGGTATAGCATGCTAAGTTTCAGCCTGTGGCCCTGGCATCCCACCTGGCCACTGGTTCCAGTTCAGGTGGCTCCATTTCAGATTCAGATTTCTGTTGCAGCCTAGGAAAGCAGCAAAGGGTGGCTCAAGTCCTCAGGCCACTGCATCCATATGAAAGATTGAGAAGTTTCTGGATCTTGGCTTTGGATTGACTTAGCTCTAACCATTGTAGCTATTTGAGGAGTGAAGCAGCAGATGTAAGATCTCTCTCTCTCTCTCCTTCTCTCTGTAACTTTGTCTTTCAAATAAAAATAGAACTTATATATTTTTAAGAAAACCTGTGCTTTGATGTCTTTTCTATTTAAACAGAAGTAATCAGCTAAGATTCAGCCCAACAAAAAATGCATTTCCAAATGACAAAATTGAAGGCATCTGAGTTGATGCCAAATCTTGTAACTCTTCTTACCACCATTATTTCTGCTCTGTGGGAGAGCTACTATTTCAGAACCGCTATTATACATGGACAACTCATCCTCTGCACTATACAGCATACTCATCTAATGTTTGCCTTATAGGAAGATGGTGGCAGTCAAATATCAACGGAGCAAGCCAACTGGAAAATTGCGCGGTTGGACAAAAAGTGTCTGTGCATGCGCCTGGGCGTCCAGCACTCATGCCACACACACTCACCAGTCTGGAACCTGGAGATAGATGGACCATATATTTTTATGAAGTAGATTTGTGGAATTACAAATTCGGTGATGAGCATAGCATTCTCTGGCTTTCCCTGACTTTGCAGTCTACTCTGAAAGACAAAACCAATGAAATGAACAAGATATAGATAATTCTCTCGAAAGTACAGAATAAGGGATAGAGGGCGGGGATGGGGCTCCATACTATCTGGTCATTAGAGAATGCTATTCTCATACTGAAACTGGAGCTTTGGAAAAAAAACGGCTTGTCACTTTTTGCGGTGTGGCAAACTGCCCCAACTCTTAGTCGGTCATTGATACTTCATGAGTCTAAGGGTCAGCATTTCAGGCTCAGCTTAGCTGGGCAGAACTTATGGCCTTGGGCCAGCCAAGCCTGGGTGACCTGGAGCTGCTTCTGATATATGTAATTAGCTGCACGATGGGATGCAAATGGCTGACTGGCAACTTGTTAGGGGGGTCTCAGTTATGCATGTGGTCTGTAATCCTCCTGCCATGTCTACCAGGATTGTCACCTGGCACATTGTTCTGAGAGCTGCTCTGCTGTTGTCATGTGTAGCCAAAGCAAGTCACTTGGGCAAATCAGATTCATTAAGGTATGGGATTATGTCACTTTAAAAGGGTGTAGATGCAGAGAATTGGAGCATATGGTATTTTTGCAATTTACCCTAGGACAGGGTATTAACACATGAAGATACTGAAGAGGTGGAGACTGTAGTGAAAGTGATGGGGGTGGGGAGGATTTAGTTTTGATGTGTCAACATTGGGTTGGCAATGGGAAGGGGTGGCACTTGTAGTCACTAGAGAATCTAATTCTAGGCAATCAGATCTAAAGACCTGTTTTACTCCAGAATTCACCTGGAACTTCAGAGCTGGGCTTAGACATAGCCATACAATCACACTAAAGAAAATTAATATTGAGACAGTTTTCATATTCAACTCTGCAAAGAGAAAGAAAGATAATAGGGGTCCAATCACAGAAGAAGAAGACCCATATTTACAAAGATGATGCATGACTCATAAATTAAATCTCATTACCAAACATTTCTGTGCCTGATAGAATTCAGTATTTATTGAGGATCTGTTGCATGGAACTGTCTATTACATCTGAAGAGAGACTGTGGGGGAAAGAGGAAGATGTATATTAGTAGCTACAAACCCAGATATTGTCAGGCTGTCCTTGGTTTGATCACCAACCACCATGTGCGACATTGAGCAAGTTGCTGACTCTCATTTAAGTTAAAATCTAAAACGCAAACAGCATTGAATAATTGGTTTGTTGAAGAAATGACAAACAAAACACCTATAAAAAACATCCATGCAAATTGTGATTCTTGTTGATGCATAATACTCCCAAATTATATTCTATTTGGAATGAGAAGATCCTTAACAGAAAATTTGAGCGTTGAAAAGCAGGTCCAGCATTGTGGCATAGCATGTAAAGCTACCATCTGCAATGTTAGGATCCTATATGAACACCTGTTTATTTCCCACTTTCTCCAGTCCCTATTCAGCTCCCTGAAAGTGGCCTGGAAAAAGCAGCAGCTGGCCCAAGTGTTTGGGTCCCTGCAACCAATGTGGGAAACCCAAAGGAAGCTCCTGGCTCCTGTCCGGCTCAGCCCTAGTTGTTGTTCCTGTCAAAAAGGGTTGACAGATCGATTACAAGCAAAGCTCAGTTACGCTAAAGTTTTGTGTTTGTTTTCATTTTCTCGTTTATCTCTTGAATCCTCCATTGTAATAGGTGACTAGCATCCTTGAAGAAATAATTTTAGCATCTTATATACATACAAAGAGTCTTCAAAAAATTGTTGGTACTCTGAAAAAACTATGTGTAGATTCCAATTTTTTCCTACCTAAGTACATTCCTCCTTTAGTTCCACTTTTACAAATACACATTTGACTCATTGAGAAGAATTGAACAAGCATCTGCAGCAGACAACTAGAGCATACAGGCAGAGAAACAACGATGACCAAGCCAGCAAAATCCACACCCAACAGAAGAGTCAACTGTCCCTAAGAGGGGCCATCCCAGGCTCTGAGAGCAGATCCATGTGCCCTGGGCCCTGCCTTAAGCGACCCTCATTCTGCTTATATTGGGCAGTAGGTGTAGGCGGTATTTCACCTCCTTTGATGTCCTAAAGCTGCACTTGAAGACAGTGAATTCTGTGGCCAGGGAGAAAAGCCAAAGGAGAGCCAAGGGTGGCGACACTGCAGAACTAAAGACATATACAGGTAGCCACAGGCCAAAGGGCTGTAAGATGGGACCCGTGCCGAGGTGTTGTCTTCTGGGATGGCTCCTCACCCACCTGCACTCACACAGCTCTGTAGCATGGGGTCCCTAAGGCACAAGCCCACTCCCCAGCCAAGCACACATGCCCTTCATTCCCGGGAGAAGCCTGTATGGGAAAGAGACAATACTGTGGCTCACACCCATACTGATCACCTAGACTGATCCAAGGAGTTTCTTATTCCAAGTAGGAATGAGCAAAGCTTTGCTCCATATTTGAGAAACGTGAGGAGAACAGGATGAACAGCTACCACCCTGGAGGGCAAAACAGAAACCCCCAACTGCTGAGACATCCATGGTCTCGAAATGTTTCAAGAGAACATGGGTTTACTAGATGAAAACACACGTGTTTGGAGGAGGAGTGCAAGGCAGATCCGGGAAAATGCTTGGCCACTAGCAATGTTGTTGCAAAATGAAGGACTCAGAAGGGTCCTGGGGGAGGCATTAGGCATGAGGCGTGTCACTTCAGGCCCATCCAACAGTGGGGTCGGGACAGTCCAACTCATGTGACTCAGGCCCATCCTCCCGTGGGGTCGGGACAGTGTGACTCATGTGACACAGGCCCATCCAACCGTGGGGTCATGACATTGTGACGTCAAGTGACCCCAACTCCTGCTCTCCTGGAACACACTCCACCCTCCACTTCCGGTCCCCTAGCCAATCACCAGGCGCCCCCTGCAACCGCCAAGCCCCCCGCCGGCCGCACCTCCGGCTCCTGGTCTGAAGCTCAGCCTCTGTGCTGCCAGGCGTCCACCATGGGGTTTCCTCGAGGACCTCGGCCCCGCAGGCGCTGCCGCCGCCCACTGCAGGAGTGCCCAGAGGCCAACCTTGGGTCTGCCTTCCACTTCGTGGTGGCGGTGCCCCCGCTGACTCTGCCGCCCCCGCCCCCACACTCACAGGTGCGCCACAACTACCATCCCGAGTGTGAGACTGCAGTGGACGTCCACGTCCAGCTGCAGCTCTCTGCGTCCCACCTGACCCGGGCCATGGCCTTGCACTTTGACCGCAACTACGTGGCACTCAAGGGCTTCGCCCGCTACTTCCTGAAGCGCTCGCTGATCGAGAGGGAGCGTGCAGAGAAGATGGCCAGAATGCAGAACCAGCGTGGAGGCCGCATCAAGCTCTGCCAAGTGCTCGCGCCTCAGCCCAGCCACTGGGACAGCGGCCTGCACGCCATGGAGAGCGCCTTCCAGCTGGCCAAGAGAATCAACCAGAGCTTCCTGGACCTGCACCAGCTGGCCACTGTCAGGGACGACCCCGAGCTCCGCCACTTCCTGGAGACCCACTACCTGCACCAGCAGGTGCAGCACCTCAAGGAGCTGGGAGACTACCTGACCAACCTGCGCAGGATGGGCAGCCAGGATAGCCGCATGGCCGAGTATCTCTTCGACAAATTCTCCCTGTGCGAGGGCGAGGAGGACGCCTGAGAGGAGGACTGTCCCCACGGCCGGGGGTGACACCCCAGGACTGAGGGACGCCTTGGGCGTTGCACGTTCACCCCTCCCTTGCCTTCAGTCTGAGCGTCGTTCACAATAAACTTCACGTGGTTCTTACAGAAACAAGTTTGGTTGACTCGTGTGTACAAAACCCTCCCCTAGAGAAATAGGACAGATCCCCAGGCGGCTTTACAACTGGGGTCCCTGAATCCAGCCTCCTTCTCTGCCTGCCTCCGCACCTGCCCCGTTGGCATGTAACTCAGGATGCCCAGTGGTGGAGGTGGTAGGGCTTCCGTGGGCTCCTGGAGAACACCTTCATTTCCTTTATAACTGTGGGAGGTGATGTGGGAGGTCAGGGGCCACCCAGTGTGGGAAGGTGATAATATAAACATGGTGCCTCTAGGGAGGAAATGAGTGGGAGGGCATTGGAGAGGGCTTCAAATAGAGGGAGGCTCACTGGACCTCAGGATATTTGACTTCCTCAAATGTTGAAGTTGGTTACTTCTAGGTAGCCAGAGACAGAGGCAGAGGTAGGCAGAGGGTCTTTGACAAGCCCACTTTGGGCCACAGTGTTAAGGGGACTGGGGCTTAGCCTATCTTTTTCAGATGTGCTGTGGTTCTAGCCTCCTGATTGCCCTTTCAGAATCTCCACCTATAGGGTTTCCCTCAGTTGTGCCGTCTCTTCCAATAAAGTCACACTCGTGCACCACACAGGAGGTTTTTGTCATTGATGGGTCACATCTGCAACAGGACAGCCAATGTCAGCAGTTATTTGGTTCCTATGGGAGGACATCTTACTAAAGAAACCATGTTTTAAATGTTGATTTAAAATCAAAGATAAAAGTGATGGATTATTGTCTGTAGTGATCAAAATTTCATGTGTTGGTTTGTTCTTAACTGACTATTCTGAACATTCAGTACAACTTAAGGAAATTTGAATATGTTGTGATTAAGTTTTGCCCCTGATAACTGTTCTTCAACACTTTCTTAAGACTGACGTTTTGGCCTTGTCTTTGTGCCACAGATTTTAATCTGTGGTTTGTCATGCTTATATTCCTTATCAGAGTGCTGGTTCAACTTATGGCTGCAGCCTTTCTGATCTAGCTCCATGATAATGTGCCTGCAAAAGGCATGGAAAGTGGCTCAGTTGCTTAGATTTTTGCCACCGATGTGGAAGCCCCAGTGGAGTTCCTGGCTCCTGCAATTAGCCTGACCTCCAGTGCTGGCTGTTATAGATATCAGGGGAGTGGTCCGGAAGATGGAGGATCTCTCTCTCCTTCTGCATCTCTTCCTTTCAAATGAAATAAATAAATATTTATTTTAAATTGAGGATTCACTGCTAACCATAATGTTCAAGAAATAAAAGTATTCAAATCACAACTTGTCAAGTTCATTTTCATATACTTTTTGGTATCCCTTATTCAGTACCATATATCAGAAAAAGCATATAACATTTGTCTTTTGAGGACTTGCCCATTTCAATAAGTATAATGGTCTCCAGTTGGATCCATTACAAACTAAAGAGAAATTATGTTATTGTGAAAATTAAAGGAAGACAGGATATTGAGGGAAGAAGGAAAGCATGGTTATGGTCTTAGAACTGTATCCCTGAAATCCATTCCGCTTATCTTAATAAACATTTAAAAACACTAATGTTACAATTTGGCTAAAGTGAGATGTTATCTTATTCTTTAGGAAAAAGTGAAGTAAGGATTATGGCCCTTTGAGTGAGGCTTGCAGAAAGTATTCCTGCTCCTTTATTACTCTTGGCCTAGCTAGTTTGTGTCATTGTATTTCTTCCCTGCCTGCTTTGGGCACATCTCTCTGTGTTTGTCCCAGATCTTCATCATTAAGTGCTGTCCTCATTTAGTATGCATTCTAGTGTATAGTTATAAAATAAGTGTGTACTGACACAAGCAAAAGCCTAGATGGCAACATAACCCCTAAAAACCTGACTTGTGGATTCTCCTTCATCTATGTTGTCCATCATTGACTGAGTTTATGTGTACACTGTCACTTTCTAGGTAAGTACAAGAACAGTTTGAGCAATTTGGAGTGTGGGGAAACACTTTAAAAGTGTTACAAAAATTGCTTACTCTAATAAAAGTATGGATTTTTAAAAGTTTGTAGCAAAATAAACCTATGTTTTATTCATTTTTATTGGAAAGTCAGATATACAGAGAGGAGGAGAGACAGAGAGGAAGATCTTCCATGTGATGATTCACTCCCCAAGTGACCGCAGTGGTTAGTGTTGAACTGATCCAAAACCAGGAGCCAGGAGCTCTTCCGGGTCTCCCACGTGGGTACAGAGTCCCAAAACTTTGGGCCGTCCTCGACTGCTTCCCAGGCCACAAGCAGGGAGCTGGATGTGACATGGAGCTGCCGGGATTAGAACCAGCACCCATATGGGATCCTGACATGTTCAAGGCGAAGACTTTACTCGCTAGGCCACCACACAGGGCCCTAAACCTATGCTTTAATTCCAATTTTCCACAAAAACTTTAAATTAGCCTCATATTTTTCAGAGCTTGAAACTATGAGCTCACTGAGGAGCCTCCTTCCTTTCCTATTTCAGAGAGATGTTTGCTGTGCTGATCTCTTCACCTCAGATTGTCTGGATTCAAATCTCAGTTTAGTCAATCATCTTGTATGAGATCGGGCAAATTGTTGAACTTTGCACTTGTTTATTTGGGAGACAGGATAATCAAGACATCAACCTCATTATGTTAAATGACATTATTCAATGACATCAAATGAGTGAATTTCTGTAAGTCACCTCGAGCCATACCTGACTCATGGGAGTACATGGTGCTAGCTGTGTCTATCATCATCATCATCATCATCATCGTCATCACCATCTCCAACATCCAATGAGCTCCAAGTTTCTCTGTGGGACTTATGGTTTCAGGAAAAGAGTTCATGCCTATAATTTGCCACTGGAGGTCTCTGTTGCATTTCTACCAGCCCTGTCACCCTGCATGCTAGCAGAGAAGGAAACAGCCTTCCCAGTGGCTTTGGCTGTCAGGTGCAGCTGGGACTCAGGAGGGTAGATGGTTGTTTGCACTGTCCCCTTTCTCAGACCCAGGACTGGAGGGAAATGTTGCTGTGACAGCTTCCAGTTACCTGCGTCCCTTCTGTGTCAACCAGCTTTTCTTTGAAATCGTCCTCTCAAACACTTGGTGCTGCTTCCTCCCAAAGCCAGGTGGCCTGTGCCTCCTGTTTACATCCTGGACTTCCTCCCAAGCTTCAGAGATGCCCAGAAGCCGAAGGAGGAAGTCCTGGCCCTGGTGACATGGGCGGGTGTATGAGCAAGATGTTCAACCTGAGGGAGCTGCACCAGCAGAAGGGAAGAGCCGAGACCACAGGAGCTTCAGCAGGAGGCTCTCCTGGCTGCTGCAGGACACAGCCACCTGCAGAGCCTCTCACCTGCCCAGGCCCATCCCCCAGCACATACTCAGTCTCCAGGGCGGGCAGGAGCTGGGCATCCCTGGATTGAAAACCAGGCCTAGCATTTCGCTGCTCAGTGTGGGCTGTGGACTAGCAGCATCAGTTGGAACTTGAGAGCTTCTTAGAAATACAAAATCTGAAGCCCCCTCCCAGAGCCAAGTAATTAGAATTTGCATTTTGACAAGTCCCCAGCTCATGAGTGTGCCCACTGTGCCCATTGTTTATCTTCCTAGTCATTAAATATGACTGCACCTTGTGATCACCTTGAGAGCCAGAGGACAATGTTGAATGCCTGGATTTAAACAATTTACTCTGCTCTATTCTTATTCAAGAGCTATGTAGATGCAAATGAATTGGTTTTATAGGCATAGGTTGGTGAACCACAACTTGTAAGCCAAATCTGTCTTCCTTTCCTAAGGAACGTTGCTAACGGTATTCAATCTCATAGCTGCTTGCATACTACAACAGAGATACTGGTAGTTAGAGACTATTTGGCCAACAAAGCCAAAAACACTTTTGTTGAGGCCTTCACGCAAAATATTTACCAACTCATGTTTTATAGTAACTTGCTACAGCCCTGAATTCACCTAAAGCCATCAAGTATTGTAAAGTTTTCACCTTTCTTCATGCATCTATTTATCTTTTGCCTTTCACTTTTTTCTCTCATTCTCAATACATATAATGGAATGATTGAGGTATTTATAGTATTTTGTGCACATTCCTAATGCTCATACATACCTGAAGTACAATTACCACCCTCCATGCTAACGTCTTTATGAATTTGAACCTGTGGTCTTTCCTTGTGTCTTTCATTTAGCCAGTTTTGCATTGGGCCTTTGTTAATTGAGGGTCATTAGTCATCTGGCTCCTGAGCACATCAGGGTGTAATAATGCCTGACTAGCCTTTTTGACTGATGCTCTATAATCACATATTCATCATGGAGGCTGTTTAAGACATACTCATTTTTAAGTTATTGCAATGTATTTCCATCATTTTTCTTGTGTGAAGAATTTAAATTTTATGAATATGCAAAGTGGCTGCCTCACAGAAGAAAGAATAGGCTTCTTTCACTTTCTCTGTGCTTATATTTTAAAGTGTTACAATTGGCTTATAATTTATTTGATATGATATCAGCTGTGTCAGATGCACCAGTGAGATTTATGTTCCTTTTTTCTTGTGGGATAATTCTCAATGTGTGATTCTTTTCCCTCCCCCAATTTAATTCTTCTATGAAGTTTATTGAGAAATGAATTTTTCCAGATAGAATATTCTTTATAAATAAACAAACTTAAATAAAATATTATAGGAAAGCAATATTAACACAATTAAATTATTTTTGAGCAAAAAATCCAATCTTTCCACAAATTATGCTTTGTTCTGTGATGTATATTGCACTATACTTGGCATTAGGACTATAAAGTGACAATGGTACTGTTTCTTCTCACCCATCAACTATATACACAGATATTTCTGATCTTTTGTGGTAATATCTAAAAAAGCAGTTAATGCAAAATACTGTAGGAATCCAGAAGATGGAGAGAGC